TTACTATTATTGTCATTATTATTGTTTGCAGGTTATCATTTGGAACATTTGCATTGCATTTGCAATTGATTAATTAAAGAATGACCCAGATCGCCGACGATATGCAACCTTTTCACTATAAGCTTATAGATTGTAACCTAGGTTGTAACCTTTACTTTATACTTTGCCTCGGAATGTGATAAAGTGTAAACGTGCAAAGTGGGGTTCGCTCCATTATTTTGAGCGAAATGTTAGAAATGACATACTTTGAATGAGGTTTCCCATTTATATTAATCGTTTTTATTTTTCTCGTTGTATAAATATTTATAAACAGTGGACTAAAGAAATCAGAAATCAGTACATTAAAACTACCCATGTAAACTAAACGAGTAACATTTGCATCAAATTTAGTATAGCATGACAATGTGATAAGTCAGCTTACTTATAGCTAATATGAGTAAGTGCGGTTTGAAGGTGCGATTAAAATTCCCGCTTATAGTTGCTACAAATGATTTTTAAGTTTATCTACAACGTATAGCCACGTCTGCACAAATACAGGAAAGCAAAGCAGTTCACATTGATGAATAAGTTTATGAAATTACATACTAAACAAACACATCGTCGTGGCAGACCCTGAAGAGTGTTGTACAAACCCCTCCGGTGCTGGAGCGAATAGGCCGCCGCAAGTTGCTACCCAAGGTGGGAATCGGCACGCGGTTCTCTACATCAACTCATCTAATTCTAAAATCCAGTTGGGCCTACGTTTCCGTACGTTTCACACCTAACGCCGTTAAGATGATACTTGTTTTATCTTAATGATAAAAAGCACTTTTGACAGGACTGCACGATCACCAATGTTAAATCTCTAACATCTAATTTACGTCCACTCAACGTCTAAAAACGAATCGAAGCGTGGACGTCCACGTCCACAAGACCTCTTATTGCATACTTCTATTCCATGTCTACACTTAGCCGTCAAAAAGATCTCATTTTCGCGGCCAAATTAGACATCTATTAGACGTCTATGGTAGATGGTCATTAGACGTCTAGGCGTCTATCCTCAGACGTCTTTTCGATATCTATGACACGTCTACTTTCTATTAGCGAAGTGGGTACGCTGGTGTCTCAGCAGACTGTCACGCGCGGAGAACGTTTTGTCACACACGGTGCACTCAAATGGCCTCTCCCCGGTGTGAGTGCGGAGATGCACTTTGAGACTGGAACTTTTTGCAAACTTTTTGTCACACAAGGTGCAATCAAATGGCTTTTCTTCGGTGTGAGTGCGCAAATGCTTAAAGAGATAGGAATTTGTCGCAAACTTTTTGTCACACAAGGTACAATCAAACGGCTTTTCTTCGGTGTGAGTGCGCAGATGCACTTTGAGATAGGAACTTGTTGCAAACTTTTTGTCACACAAGGTGCACTCAAATGGCTTCTCTCCGGTGTGGGTGCGCAAATGATTCTGGAGATTGGAACTTGTTGCAAACTTTTTGACACACAAGGTGCAATCAAATGGCTTTTCTTCGGTGTGAGTGCGCAGATGCACTTGGAGATTTGAATTTGTTGCAAACTTTTTGTCACACAAGGTGCACTCAATTGGCTTCTCTCCGGTGTGGGTGCGCAAATGATTCTGGAGATTGGAACTTGTTGCAAAC